GTTTTTGCTTGCTTATGGATTGGTTTCTGCGTAGCTAAATGCGTTCTCGAACAAAAGGAAAGAATGAATGAAAGAAGAAAGCAAATAAAAATGTAGTTTTCAAAGTGTTATTATTTTATTTTATTAATTTAAAATTAATGTTAAGTTTCTGTTATTCATTATAAAAATTAAATTTTTAAAATGAAAAAATTAATTAAAAATGTAATAGTTTTGTTACTGTAGTAAAATAATCATTTCTAAAATGAAATAAAACGGTTGGTGATTCTATGATTTTAATGGTTCTATTTAATTGTATACTTTTTTCATTGCTTTATTTAAAAGTTTCTTATGTAAAATATATTCCTGAAATGTTCATTTAATGTGTTAAAATGTTAATACAAAAATTAATTAATAGAATTTACATACTTATGAATACGATCCATTCTAACAATTATAAAACTGATTTATCTGTTTAATAAGAAAAATTTGATTTTATGGTAAATATATAACAATAAAAAATAAAATAATTTGTATTAAGAACAATAGCTTCTTATGTATGAAATGTAAATTATATTAAATCTAAATATTGGAAGTATTTTAAAGTTTTTAAATAAAAAAGCTTGCAAATATTTTTATACATACAAATTTATACATTCAAGTGCAAATAAATAACCAGAGGAAGACTTAAGAGACCGAAGCTATTCCTAAAATGAAACTAAAGGAATATGTTTATTAATATATTATTAATGCTTCATCACTGTTTAATAATATAAAAAGTTTATTTAAATTACAAATCTAAATATTCAGCCCCAGCAGAAGTTTATTTCTGGCTACGAAACTGTCTGTACACAAATTAAGATGGCTTCCGCTGTGCATTTACACATGAATTCCGTTGCATTAGCGATAAAAGTCGATATCGTTGCTTACTGGTTTCTCATATTATTTTCAGTATTTGAGTATAAGGAAAAACGTTCTTACATTTTAAACAACATCAGTTTGTGACTTAAAAACTTACTGCAATGAGTTAGCAATAACTTTAAAACTGCTTGGTTTGTCTATACTTGGTTTGAGTAGAAACTTAACTGGAATGCGATCGCATGACAGTGTACGAGATTTCTACACATTTATAATGGTTCAAGTATGTACTAAACTGGAATGTAGAGAACTGTAAGCATTCAGAAGCATATCTGCTGTATGTAAATTTCATTAATTATCTTTGTTTTGTTCGAATACAAACACACCGAGATCATCTTGTTAGCAAAAACCGTAACATCACAAAGACGTTAATAATCACTTCATACAGATGTTGATAAAGACCGTAATATGATTTTCAACAGTGTGTGGTGAACATGCTTTGCGGCGTTGTAATCCGTGAATGCATTTGAGGTAAACACAGTAATCCTTTTGTTGGTTACTATTCCTCGTGGATTACCGAATGTTTGGTTTAATAATGCCTGCTTAGTAATCACGTCTTCTGTTGTCGTAAATTTACGAGGTAATTCAGACAAAGATAGTTTAAGGTATTTCAGAAGATGTGTGAAAGATAGCACGAAAGAACTTACTGCTCTTTTTGTAGATTCTTGCTATTCTCGTACAAAAGTCTCTCAGAAAAATTTTTTTCATATGCAATTGGTGGTAAATCAATAATAGCTGTTAATCGCGCCTTCATCTAATTTAAAATTTCATTTAAGTACAAATATGAAGGAAATTTGTGAGATTTATGTTTAATTATTATTATTTATGTATAAATAATTATTTATTAAATTTTACGCATCCTTGAAAAAAATGGTCGCAGTTATTGTTACATTAAGCACAGCAGTGGTAAAAAAAATTTAATTAAAACTACAATACAGCTTAAATATATATAAATAAATATTTAATAAATATATAAGTGAATATTAAATTTTAAATATAGAAAATAAATTTGTATATTGTATATATATAAATCATTCCGGTATGGCAGCAAATGTTGGTATTTAATAAAATTTCGAGTAGGGTAAATTGGATTAAAGTAAGGTAAATTAGTTAAAAATTAGGTAAATTAGGTGTTACCATTGTGAAAATTTTATAAGATGTTTAATCTTAATTAATTAATAACTTTTATTTTTATTTGTATGAATATTATTTCATAGAAATAAAATTTATTTAATAAAAAAATAAAATTTCATGAATTCATGGATTTTTTTTAAACCCAAAAACAACAACAGAATTGTTTTAATTTCTTCAAGCGAAACTTAAGAGTGACTTGCGAAATATAATCAATATATTAATGATTATATATAATCAATTATTAATGATAAATTTGTTTTTTCTCAATATATTGTATAATATAATAATTTTATTTTGTTTATATTCATTTTTTCGATTTAAGTAATTAAAAGTAACGAAAAATTCACTATTTTTTTTTTAATATTTTACAAATTGAGAATTTTTTAAATTTTTATAAAATTTTATATAAATGTTTGCAAAATTATTTCATCATTTTGATTGGTTGCTTTTAGTTTAAATATTATTCATATATGAATGTATATGTTGCACTCTAGAAAGAGAGGGAGATAATAATACTAGCTTTTGCGTTCCTAGAGCAAAAAAAGAGAAAGATTTAGTTGAAAAGCTTTAAATGCCAATTGTTCCCAGTATTAAACCATCGGGGGCCTCAAATATTAATTTCAAATATCAATCGTTTCGATTGATATTATTTACAATAATTATTATAAAAATTATAAAAATAAAACTTTTAGTATTTATTTCTTAACTAATATTATTTTCGTTAATTTTTATTAATCAAGTTAATAAATGAAGAATTAATTCTAATAATAATGAAAACCATTTTATTTTAAGCTTATCTCTTTGGTCTCTACAAAAACTATTATTCGTTTATGGATGACTTTGAAGCTATAAATTTTGATATACATATGTAGCTTATTTCTTCTGGGAAATAACAGACTACTTGAATTTTGGTGAAAATTATATTGCCTTTTACATACACACATATATGTACATATGGGTCATTCTTTTACCATCCGGACAGATTTTGCAAAAAATGACCTCATGATCTCCGATCATCGGAGATGATGAGGTCAAAAGTTTCCGATTTGTAAAAGAATGACCCTTGTCATAGGTATATTATGGTATACACACACCTTAGCACAATCTTGGCCATGCTACTCAGTATAGAGCTGAGCTTGTACTTGCATTATATAACTAGATATCTGGTCTGCCGCTTTTATATTCACAAGTTGAGACTGATTAATGACTCGTTCAGTCAAATCCCATGTAATTTTTTTATCATTACCCTGAATCAGTAATCTTCTGCTAGTTTAGGAATCTAAATCCCTGTTCTACTCAAATTGTAATTAATAACTAAAGGTTTCTTTAAAACGGTGAATGGGCGCATACCAGCCAGAGACATTAACCAAGGCAAGAATCTGGCTAAATCTATTGCTGGAGGTATCGTCAAGTGAATTGAAGAAGTTGGCCCCTAGAAACTTAAACCTAGTTCTGGCCAAACCTGGACAAAGACACATCAGGTGTTCTGGTGTCATTATCTTAAGAGTTGGTAGACACGCACTACAAGAGGTACCACGGGGTAGGCCGAGTCTAGCTCCATGCCGTGTCACTTGACTAGTGTCCTGTAAAGACAGATATTAACCTAGATACCCCACATTTGTTTCTAGAGATGTAGTTAGAGGTTCTATATTTGGAATAGATTGCCCAAATAGCCCTTGACCTGGCTGCTGAGGCAGTAAGGGTCCACTCACTATTTGGCTGTCGCAAAAAATGGTCATAAATTAGCCTACGATGTTTAAAACTGAACACTTTAATAGTGTTAATATTTTATTAGCAAAGTCGGGAATAATTATAATCAGAATTTATAAAACTGCATTTTAAAGAGTTTGAATCGAATATGTTGGTACTATTCCGATTTGATCGGCATGTCGCTTTGACAATAGATTTCAGTGAATTCAGCTATTCTAAATAACTTTTTCCTTATCATAATATCTGAATATAGCTCACTTCTCGATTTTCATGTAAAATTGTCAATTTCACTATCTTTTATATAGTGAACAATATTGATAGCTGTTTTCATTGAAATCCGTTGTCAAATAGAATTGACTGGAATTGGGAATCATCCTAAAAAGTATTTAAGCTAATTGCAGATAAAGTTTCTGCTTTCTTTCACTTTACCTTCCATAAAGCATCTGCAAATTCTTTACTGTGTAGAATTTTAAAGTATACTTTAATCAAATCACTCAATAATAATAATCTTCTTCAACTTTATCTCTAGACTTTAACTCTTTCCATTAGAGAAATGATTTTTTTCTAATAAATAAAATATTTCACAAGTTAAGTCAAATTATCATAATGCAGAAATCTCAAATGGTTTAATCGAAAAATTAAGACAACAAAAAAAAAACAAATTAAATACACATTTCATCAACGTCAATAGAGTCTGGTACACTGATAAGAATTTAAATTTAAAAATTTTAATAATAAAATAAATAAACAACAAATATCTTTTGCCGATTAAAGCAATAAAAAAAAGTAATCAGCTGTTAGATTTTCTCGTTTGGATGACTTTAAATGTTTGTCTATGACTTGTGGTTATTCATAAACACGACAAGTGCTTGAAACTCTTACGGATCCCCCAAGAAGTCAATAAAAGTGGAAAAGTATCGCGTCCCGCTCAAAGTTCAAACAATAGAGTGGAATATTATTTTTAATAATGCTTTATCAGTTTAGTTCGTTACTCAGATTTGTATCATTTTAGGTTGTGTTTTGTTTATTTTAATTCTCGACGGAGATCAGTTACTCTTTTACTTACTGCTCTTTTAGTAGTACCGATCTTCAAGTATATCTCTTGGCAACTTGATTCTCCGTTTCCATGGCATTTTATTTGGCATACTACATTGTTCTGATGCAGCTTATCAATGTTTGTTTTGTTATTAGAATTAAAAGCAAGTCAGCTATTGATAAGAGGTATTTATAATGGACCAAGCATTTCAGTCGGTGGAATAACACTGAAGCGAGAAGACATGCAATCTTTTACGGCTACATTTTACGATGCAGAGGAGAAAATTTGGTCAGGTCCAAAACGTAAACAGTTTTATGGTTCGAATATGACACTTGGTGAAGTTGCTTTATTGGAGTGGAGCCGTAATCCAGAAAAGATAGTACAAATAATGGATAGTACGGGTGAGATTAAGACTGCAGCAGAATTGGCGCATGAGAGTAAAATAATTGCAAATAATCTTATGCGGTTGGGTCTCGATGCACATGACGTCGTTGGTATAGCTGCCAATAACTCAACATATTTGACTGCAGTTGTGGTAGCTGCTTTTCTGTGTGGTGCACCCATAAATGCACTATATCCGTATTTTGATAAAGGTATTTAAAAATATTTATAGGTCATTAAACCTCTAATTTGGTTTTATATATACTTTTTTCGATTTCGTAGATAGTGTAAAAATAGTTTTTGAAGTAACAACACCGAAGATAATTTTTTGTGATGTACATAACTACGAGATTATAAAAAGTGCAAGGGATGAGCTACATTTAACGGCTGATATATATCTGTTGAATGGAGTGATTCATGGTGTGCGAAATGTTAAAGAACTTTTAGTTCCAGTTGAAACAGTTGACTTGCACTCTCTGTCGTAAGTAAACTACTTAGTTTTCAATTAAAACGTCTTAAATAATAAATATATCTGTGTATAAAATTTAGGTTTCCATGTACGCACTTAAGTGGGGATCATACAGCTGTCATATTGTGTTCTTCGGGTACAACAGGTACACCAAAAGGATCTCTTTGTTCGCATGAGGCTTTAATGAATTTACCAACATTGTAAGCATAATTTATTACTTAACATTTTCTTTATTAATCAGTAAATAATGTTTAATGTGGTGTCATATTATTACTAAATTCCTTTTATGTATTATTTTTAGCCAAAATACTACTTCTGATACAGTTCTATTCACCTTCAGTACATTGTACTGGGCTTCTGGCTTATGGACATTTACTGCTGCTATCTTAAATGGCGCTAAACGCATTATAACGAATAAGCCATTCACTCCAGAATATTTTTTACGCTTGATAGACACGTATCGTATAACACATATCATTTCGGGACCGGAATATATTGCTCAAGTCTTACAAAATGCAACAGCAGAAACAAGTGCACGTCTGTCAAGCATACAATATCTATTATGTGGTGGTTCCAAAGTTCCACAGGTTATTTCTGAAAAATTTAATGCTCTTTTAGGTACTCAGCCAAAGCCGGGACTAGTTGTCGCATATGGCATGTCTGAGTTGTCAACTATGCTCTCACAAAATGACGGTGGTCCAGGTAAGCGTCGCGAAGGTACTGAAGGTAAACTTACGCCGAATATGCAAGTTTGTATTACAACTAAGAACGGTGAAAAACTTGGAATCAATATGCCAGGCATTATAAATATACGCACACCATATGCTTGGCTGGGTTATTATCGCAATAAAGAGGTTACCGAGAAGAGTTTGTCCAATGGTTGGTTGATAACTAGCGACATTGGTTATTTTGACGAAGATGGCTTTTTACATGTCTGTTCTCGTGATAATGACGTTTTTAAATCACGGAATTTTCAAATCTATCCACAACAAATTGAAGAAGTGATCATGCAAGTGCCTGGGGTACTGGAAGTTTGTGTTTTCGGCATACCAGATCTTGTGACTACCAATTTTATTGCTTGTGCAGTTGTGCGTACTAATAATATAGAAGGCGAGCGCCTTACTGTAGCTAAGGTGGAGGAATATGTTGCAGAAAACATGGCTGCAATTTACCAAATAAAGGGTGGTGTGTTCTTTTTAAATGAATTGCCCAAAACTGGATCTGGCAAGGTTCTCAGAAGAAAAGTTTATGATTTAGTTAAATCTTAATAAATAAAATAAGGAAATGAAATAATTACTGATCAGAAGATTTAGTTTTCAATATTTTAGGGAAGATAAAAATTATTTCTCATTTAAAGTATTAAATGTCTACAATTTAGGTTCGTAAATATTAACTAAATAGTATAACTCATATAACACACACACACTGTGAGAATTACATGAAACAAGATCGCATTTATTATTTTTTACATACATTATATATATAGATCTATGAAAACATCGTCTATCTTAACTACGTTTATCGGTTCATAGAAACTTGCTTCTGTTTTTATAGCGTTCAAATTAATATAAAAGATATAAATAGGTAAGTGCAGTTAAAAGGAGTATCCAATTCTAATCATATACTTAAGCAACCCTCATTTACATAGCGCAGGTTTAGCCTAGCTTGATATCGTTTTATAACTCAATATCCTCGTAGGTGTTGTTAAGTTGTTTCTGTAGATTAGGTCAAAAGTTTTATATTTGGAATATGTAGTTAGTGTCGCTATGTTAACCTGTTTCAAACAGTGATCATCTGTCAATATCCGTGTGTAACTTAGAGGATTTGGGGTTGGTACTAGAACTACTAACTTTTTTTATTGAGTATCTATTTATTTATGTTTTTACTACTGATATTTATTCACTAATCAAGTGCTAATTCTCACTTTTCCTATATCGCCTTGTATAATTTTGGAATCAGCTATATTTATCAATATGGTATATATATAATATATATAGATAATTATATAATGCAGTATTCTTTTAAGTTATTGACTATTATCTGCTTTATGGTGACCTGGTTATAAGTACAATATCGTCCATATATTAACACTTTGAGATCAATATCCCCAATTAGTCTTTCCGGAAGGAATCTGACAATCTGCAGCATGATTTGTACGCTGTCATCTCGTTGGAAGTTATTCGGTTTCGATTTGTTTTTATTTGTAACGAAGAAGTCATATACATTTTTAATAGTATTCCTCATTTACTTACATATTTTTATATACAGTATAATGACTAGTTAGCAGATACTATGAGTAAAGTTTATAGAACAACCCAAGCCCAGATCTTGTAATATGACATATAATATTTGAAATTTATACTTGATATGTATCAGATAATTGACGATATACTCAGATAAATCTGAAATACCTCAGATAAAAGGGGTATTTCAGATAAACGAAGTGCTTTCCCATAGTACCTCAAGCTATAACAAGAAGAGATGAAATGGATTTATGAAAGAACTTTAAACGAATTAACAATATTTATTGATTATAAAGAAAGAAAGAAATTCATAATTTTTTTAGTTTATAATTTTTATTTTATTTTAAGTTTATTTGTAAAAATTTTTACTTTGTTGAGAGTGGCAACCATCGCTGATTACTATGGCTTGCTCGATACCTTGGTTACTTGTTAATTTCTTTAAAGGAAACTCCGGTTTCGCTTCATATAAATAAAATGTGTTTGGTAAAATAAGTTAGAGAACGTAATGGAGATTATAGAATTTTTAGACCGCACAGACCAAAGGAATTTGAAATTAAAAATTCAATCAATGGCAAGCATTTTTGATTCGTTGATGAGATATTCAAAATAATTTAATCCAAAAT